ATTTTTGTTCAGAAGTTATTTCTGTTACGGTGTAAAGAAATGGAACCAGAATACATTTTTGGTAGTTCTTACACACTGGAAATAAATATATATCAAATTCCTATATCCTACACAGAACCGTCATATAGCCTGATTGATATAGCAATTTAACTACAATAAAAGCGTCTGGTTAGCAAGGTCGAAGGTGTAGTATACAGGTTCGATTCCTCCCGGAGGACCATATTTTTTTTGTATTTCTTGGGCATTCAGGCCGGTAAATGTTATTAATAATGTTTATTATAAACAGAGCATTTACTTAAATATTTGTATCTATATAAATAACGTATAAAAATAAAATATATTAAAATAATTTTCGGAGACATTTCATGAGATAATAACGAAATTATTTTATCTCAGCTCATTTTCTTCGTTAGTTTTATAAACTTGGGGCGGCCAGTTAGGAAATAAACACTCGAAAACTAGCGTGTGAGAATGGCTTGAAAAGCGTTTCCATAAGTCAGGAACTCGGCAATGACTGGATATCGTAAAACAGAGATGGAATAAGTTGAAATAGAGGAAGGTCACTGGCTGAGGGCCAAATAGAATTTCCTCATCAACCCTGAAATCAGAGCGTTCGAGAATTTTCTGTTCATTTCTCCATTCTCTCTCGGTTTTCGTTTCCAACAAATGACAGTTTCTGAAAATATACATGTATTTAATGACATACATATATATATATATATATATATATATATATATATATATATATATATATATATATATATAGATACAAGAATTTAATGACGTATATATAGCGAGTTTGTCTGACGATCGCAGAGAGCATGAAACCCTGGGTCACAAAGGCAGATCAATCCAACTAAATATGTTAGCTCTATCAATAATATTGAGCGCTTTCCAATAAGTACGCGCATCTATATTACATAAATAATATATATAAAATTGCAGATATATATATATATATATATATATATGAAGAACTATAATTTTAATGTGTGCTATATTTATGGGATAAAGTACTCAATATCATATATATATATATATATATATATATATATATATATATATAGATAGATAGATAGATATATGTATATATAGACACAATTTTACATATATATATATATATATATGTATATATATATGTGTTTGTGCGTATAAGCGTGTATATAATTAATGATTTTTACACATAATTTATCTGTATCTATATCTCTCTATGTATGAATGTGTATGTGTCCGTGTATTTATGTAGGTATGAGTGTTCATGTGTGAGTTCATATAATCAGTTATTCTATATACAGGTGTGCGTGCAAATTTATGTATGAACAAGTCATGCTGTACAAAATAGAATGACATACGAAACCTTACTACTTCGATTTGTGGGAAGGAGTTTTCTTAGAATCGCATGTGAAGTAGAACTAGTGTGTTCTGCTAGCTGCAGAATGTGTACATCTTTATTTTTTGATTTTTTACCTGACAAGAAAAAATCTATCTATCTATCTATCTATCTATCTATATCTATCTATCTATCTATCTATCTATCTAATGTGTTCATATCTAGTAACAGACTTGATATATTCTACAGGATCTTCCACAAAGGAAATTTTACATTTACTGTAAGCTGAAAAAAATAAACAACATGTAAAAAAAAAACTACCTAGATATTTTATTGTATGAATGAAATAAAAATAACTAAAAAAAAATTTTTTTAACAATTTGTTGTTCTAGGATGCCGCAGTTATCAAATTTTCAACGGGAAGTTCTTTTTAAGGAAGAATTTCCAAGTAGAGGACTGAAAAAATGCCAAAGAGTTCTTCCATAATTCTTTAGTTTGATAACAAAATTTCAGTTTACCGATAATGCATCTGGACAATACTTTTGTTTCAAATAACTGTAATAAAAAATTCCGACAAAAAAAATTAGTATAGTTTATTTAATATAAACTATACTAAATTTCATGTTTTTCTTGGGTTTTTTGTGGGGCATACAGTAGTATATTCTATTACAATACACGGATTTATTTTTCACCGGATATTTTTATTACTTCAAAAGTTACTGCAGTGGTTACTTCGATTTGAAATATACTCTCCATTTTTATATATTAAACAATGTGTATTACATCTAAAAATCTGTGCATTCGTGAAATTTTAGTAAAGAAAATACGTTCCCTGGAATGAATAGGGGGTCTATTTTAAATACGAATTACCACAATAATAACGTTTGAATTAATATAAAATATCGGATTAAAAATGAAGCCATTATTTCTTTAGAAATTGTTTTGTCTAGGTTTCGGAAATGAAATTCAGCAGATATGAAGCTTTCGAGAATATAGTCTGAGTGAAGTTTAAGTGCTTTCCTTAAAGACGAAATAATAGAATCCTGCTTGCTGGAATATGATCTCCGTGACCTAGCAGTAAAAATGGTAAATTCCCCTACAAAGGGAGCCATAAATTTGAGGCTACCTTGGAACAGAGACTGAATTCCCACTGTCCAATAAATAATAATGATGCAATTCTTTCAAATACGACGTATCCATGACAATAACATTTGAAATAATATATGTGTGCGTGTGTGTGTGTGTGTGTGTGTGTGTGTATGTATAAAATCCCAGGAAGATAGAATCACGGTAGAACTCACAGTCCAGGGCAGAGTAAGAATATAATATAAAAGGTTCATGCACTAATATTCCATGGTTATAATTTATTAAATTGGAATCGTAATCACGATCAATTCATCAGACCTACAAATTCAAAAAGATCCGTTTTCTTTTTGAATTTGTAGGTCTGATGATTTGGATCGTGATTACGATTCCAATTAATGAATGATAACCATGCAATAATAATGTTGAGCCTCACATACACACACACACACACATATATATATATATATATATATATATATATATATATATATATATATATATATATATGTGTGTGTTTGTTTATGTGTTCTTAGTATATATATACGGTGGTTTTGATAAGTACATAACATATTACGTTATATTCAAAATGCAGGTCATAATGTCTGGAGCCTCTGCTAGCAACTCATGAATAAACTTTATATACATACATATGGATGTATATATGTGTGCATGCTTAAATATTGAATACTTATATTTGCTTCTATATACTTGTATGCACAAGTTCAGTTAAGCCGTCAAAACTGACGCCATATTTGTTCCAGACCTATTACGAAAATGTTTTCACATACATGTGTCATTTCTCGATTTGACTTCGTAAACATATTGACACTTCCAGCTGGCTCACCAAAAGAATAGTTAAGCTTTCGCATTGCAGAAATATACAGACTATATATGCACAAATATTAGCATATAGATATACATATTAAAAGACAAGCACTTCTCTGCTGACCTTACAATTCGTGTGTAGGTAAGTTCACTTGACCATTCATAGAAATAATTCCAGCGCGTCATGTTCAGCATACGAATTAGTTCTACGAAATTATGGAGGATTATAGCAAAAGCAGCTTGTCCTTATATCCTTGCAATTATATATATTTGCATTGCACTCTTTTTCCTCTCCGAACATTAACGCTGGATACATTATTGTCTGTGGCTAACAAACAGTCGGCAAAAATGTATGTACTACGCAACAAAATGGTTGAAGTCACAAAAATTTTATTTAAACATCAAAAATTTTCTAAAAGTCACATAGTATACCAAGGTCATCATCAACATCGTCTTTCAAGGTACTGCGACTATATTTATCATCAAAGTGTCAAGAGGTAAGTGAAAATGTCCGATACATAATGATTTACACAATATTTATATCATTCTGGGTATGACTTTAAACTGCATACGCGTCCTGGGTAAGACTATAAACTACGTCCAACAGCAATGCCTCTGATCAGGGGGTTTTGAGGTGTGTACAATTGTTGGTGTTCCCAGGTCCACCCTGACCCGGAGTGGTAGCACCTGTTTGGGTCCCAGCTATGGGCAAAGAGTTAACCCCCAAACACAGATCTTGTCCTGGGTGTGACAATAAACTACATCCGCCTCCTGGGTATGACGATAAACTACATCCGCCTCCTGGATAAGACGATAAACTACATCCGCGTTCTGGATAAGACGATAAACTACGTCCAAGAGCAAAGCCTCTGATCAGGAAAACACCTTTCATTTGCTGGTGTTCCCAGGTCCACCCTGACCCGGCGGCGGGTAGCACCGTTTAAGGTTCCAGCTATGGGCAAATAGTTAACACTCAGATTACATTCGCATTCTGGGTATGACGATAAACTACATGCGCGTCCTGGGTATGATGATAAAGTACATCCGCGTCCTGGGTAAGACGATAAACTACGTCCAACAGCAAGGCCTCTGATAATACGTTTTGAAAAAATAATGTTGCCAGCTGTACGTTTTAAAAAAAAATATTACCAGCTATAAGTTTTTGAAAAAAAAATAATATTACCAGCTATACGTTTTGGAAAAAATAATAATACCAGTTATGCATTTTTGAGAAAAAGTATATTATCAGAAATGGGTTTTTGACAAAACAAAAATATTACCAGGAAAAATGTTGTCGGCATTAAATGACCCATTGAGGCTGATATGCCGAAAAAAAACAAAACAAACAATATTTATTATTTAATATATCTTTCCATACCAGTGTATTTTACATATCTCCAAGTTACTGACTTATTGTTCCCTCATAAACTGTATGCAGACTCAATCTATTTATAAGCGTATGACTTGGTATGATAAATAAAATGTTGCCCCATACAAGAATACGTAGATAGATATTTTTTGCGAGAAAGAATTTACTTCTCACAAAATTATATTTGATCTTTTGTTCAGATTTGGGGTATCGTATCTTTTCGGCACCCCGTAAAACATGCATGTATATATCTATACGCTTTTTTCATCTAATGAATATGTATATTTCATTATATTTTATGATAAATTAAGCCTTTAATTACCGCATTATATCTATATTCAAATGACATGTCCAATTAATTTAACGCAAAGAACCGCAGAGTTTAAGTCATTAGCACCAATTATCATCATAACCGGAAGTGTCTTTGGCATCGACACCATTTCTTGCTGCCATATTAAAAATTGGAAAGAGAACGGTGAGGTGAATTAGAGGATGTTGATTAATTCTTTTTTATGAGATTTCAATTCCGTAGGCAGTCTTATTACTTTCACTGTCGAGCCTAATTTTTCATTTTTCTTCATTCATGTTCATAGAGCGGATATTATTATTATTAGTTCGGAAAGTTTTCACACCAGTCGCAAGCGGTGGCTTTTTTTTTTAATAGGAGATCAAGTGATAGTAATCATCTTCAGTCATCCTTTACTTTCGTCAGATTGCCAGCTGCTTTTTCGAAAAGACGGCTTTATGTCTGGACCGATGTAGTTCATCCAAGGATTTCAAGTTTCTTCCAATCTTTTTGCAAGTATATTTTACAAGAACACAATTAATAATCCAAATGAACGTCAGATTTCCTCTTGTCTGAAAAGGCCAAGTTATTTATCCAATTGTTCATCTATGGATTATCTGCATTCTCTTGTTTGCAACGTGGAGATTAGGAAACCCTTTTCTACTTTCAATGTCTAAAGATTTCACGTTTTTCACCCTCTAAGATTCTCTTTTGTTTAGATAAAAGGCGTTTGTACAATATGAAATAGATCACTATTTCTAGCTTTACATACATGTTTATGTCGTTCCTATGCAGATTATTATGCTGAATGGTAGACAATATCATCGAGGACATTTAGTATTCTGTTGTTTCTCGTTTACATTCGTGTTTGTATTGTTTTTATAATACACACTGTAGGCCAACAATTTGGTAGTATCGAAGTGTCGAAGGTCAGTGTCGAAAGACAAAGTAGCGGATAACAATATGGACATAATGTCGAAAAGGCAAAATTTCAAAAGGACAAAATGTTGGATAAAGTAAAAACGAATATATTGTCATGATTTTTTTAAAAAAAGTCGGTTCAAATAACCAATTAACCTATTCTAAAGTAAAATGTATTCTATTATAAACACATTTCTTCATTTAGACAGTTCGATTTCTTTTTTTCCGTTTGAAACTTTGTCCATTCCGCAGTTTGTTCTGGCGACACTTAGTTCGTCATTTTGATCTTCCGCCATTTTGTCTTTTTGTCAAGTCCATCGACACTTTGTCGTTCGACACTTTGTCGTTCGACACTTTGTCGTTCGACACTTTGTCGTTCGATACTTTGTCGTTCGACACTTTGTCGTTCGATACTTTGTCGTTCGACCCCTCTGCACAGGAAATATTTGGGGCCAGCTTCTGGATTTCTGGCGCATGTTAGATTTTAAGAAAACGTTCTCTAAAAATATCAGGAAACACCTTCTATATAGCTTAAATAGTTCTCGCAAACTGGCTTAATATGCGATAATTAACCCAAATGATTGAAACGTACTAATTATTAAATCTATAAAGTAATCTAAATGTATTCATTTTAAAATGCTTTTCATAGAAATTATTTTTCTTAATCGAATCATCCTTTGTTCAACCCGTTATCTCCCATTCCAATCATTGGTTATTAAAGTAACCAATGATTTGCATTTATTTGATCTCCATTTTGAAGTTTCTGATCCATATTTTCCTTTTGCCAATAATGTTTATATATTTTTCTCTTCCATTTATAACGGAATACCTATAGTTCTAGCCTATAGATTCTTTGTTAGCTGAGTGGAGACTATTTTTAGAAACAATATATCTTTCTACCTGATGTTTTCTTTCTTAATCTCTTTTTTGTTAAAGAACGAACTTATGTAAAATTCACTTGTGTACAGATCCACGATCCACAAAACTAAGTAGCTATTCTGGTTCATATTTATTATTTAACCTTGTGTCTAGTTGTGAAAGGATATGGAATGTTTACTAACGATAATACATGTGTGTCTTTTTAAGTTGTTGCTTTTGAATTTGTCACTATTTATGGATATAATTCTGAACACTGAAGTTCAAGAAACGTGTTGACTCATCTGATAAAGGCTAAAATTCTAGTATGTTTCTTATTTTCAATATGTAATAATTTCACCAAAATATTTTATTCTTCCTTTTCATCTTCACCTACCAGTCAATCCGGATAATAAAATCGGCGATTCGACAAACATCTCAAAGTAAACCGTATGGAGCTACAATTCTCTCGGGGATTTTTGCTTAACGATTCGCTTCAGATCTAGGTACAAAGAATGCAAAAAAAATATCTTCCTAACCAATAAACGACTCCCAAAATTGTTTTGATATGTGTTAATTTCTTCTGGCTTTGGGAAGTAGGCCAGACCAATAATTTTTCAGTATACCCTCGTAGCTAAATTTAAAATGAAATTAATTAATTAAATATGTGTGCAGAACAACATGACAGTCTAACACCAAATATGCAGCAAGTGTAACAGCAAATACATAGAAAGCAGTTTCCAAATGTGTTATTTTTATGAGTCTTTTCCTTTTTTTATTGCTGTTACTTTCAGTATATAAACTAATTGAAAGGTTCCAAATTTATTTTCTACACACACACACACACACACATATATATATATATATATATATATATATATATATATATATATTATAGAGCTCAGAACATGACTGGCAAAACCAATCGTGATCAGCGAAGCGTATAACCGAATTAATAAAACAATTTTGAACATACTTATGTGATTTCTACTACTTTTGTTTTCCTTATTATTAAATATTGCCGACAGACATGACCACGTCTGTTGATCGGTTCTACATCGGTGGCTTTTGGTAATTTACGCATGAAAATTACATAGCGTGCGCAAAATACCGAACTAATAGTCCAATTTACAAAAAGTACCGACAGGAAAAGAAGCAAATATATGCTTAGTACAAAATCAATTATCGATTTCTTGCTTAATCATCCGTTCAATCGTTGAAAATATTGAGTTGTGTACATCTGGTTATTAATGCAATATCCGAAAATCAAACAAAAAAGAACTAACACTGAACAGAAAATGCGCACACGAACACACACAGACACACGTACGCTCACACACATATATGTATGCAAGTATATATATATATATATATATATATATATATATATATATATATATATATATATATATATATGTATGTATGTATGAAGGATACTAACTGACGTAATAAATCATTAAGAATATTAGAATAATAAGGCGTTTCTTGAATTCAAAATATTTGAATAAATAGGTAGATTTTTACTTTTGTATATAAATACTTTTTGCAAAATGTGATTCTTATATTTGCTTGATAACGTCCATTAGATGGCGAAATGCGTCGACTAATATAAGATTTCGATTTTTCTGTATTTACGCACACACACACACACACACACACACACACACACAGACGAACGCACGTGCTTACACATGCACGAGCACACACACACACACACACACAAAACAAACCCAAACACACACACAAACACAAAACACAAAAACACACACACACAAACACCCAAAAAAAAACACACACACACACACACACACACACATATATATATATATATATATATATATATATATATATATATAATTATTTTTTTTAAAATATGATTCCTTCGCTACAAAAGAGTTGTCATGTTTCAAAAACAAGAGCCGAAATACTGAATATAATTATTAAAATTAAATTGAGTTAAAGCATCAAAGCCTGTTTCCTCCTCAATCGAAAATTTAGGAACACACACACACACACACACACACACAAAAATATATATATATATATATATATATATCGACTGGAGTGGGTTGAGCTCCGTCCGGCTATCTTGCCCAAGAAACACCACTTGTACTGCGACCAAAGTACAAGCGGTTCTCCTAAGATCCTAATGGGTCATAGGATTCCGCGCGAATATATATATATATATATATATATATATATAGAGAGAGAGAGAGAGGGAAGACAGAGAGAGAGAGAGAGAGAGAGAGAGAGAGAGAGAGGGAGAGAGAGGGGAGGGGAGACAGAGAGAGAGGGGGGACAGAGAACAGACAGACAGAGAGAGAGAGAGGGGGACAGAGAAAGAGGGGGACAGAGAGAGAGAGGATGGACAGATGGAAAGAGAAAGACAGAGAGAGAGGGAGGGAGGGATGGACAGAGAAAGACAGACAGAGAGAGAGATAGAGAGAGGGACAGAGAAAGACAGACAGACAGACAGAGACAGACAGAGACAGAGAGATAGAGACAGAGAGAAAGAATGATCTAGACTGATATGTTGGGTTGTCCTTTAAAAGAAATTATCTTCAAGCATCATATATTTATAAAGAAAAACCGAGTTTAGAAAATAACAACAGAAAATTACAAGGATTTTTATTTCCGAAAACATGAATCCAAATATCAAAATGTAATCATCAACACCGAATGGATTTCCTTCTGAATTCTAACAGAACATTCGTTTTTTATTATGAAAATGTTTAATTAAATTTCAGGTTATAAATGTGTCTTGTGTTAACAGACAGTCCATAACTTTGTGTACAATCTCTTTCTGGAATTAATGAAAGCGGTTCCTTAATTTACTGAGAACACAGATAACTTGATGATACAGTAAAAGCAAAAGGATAGCCTCTATGCAAGCAAACAAGAAATAATATTGATTTTCAACCCACAAAATCAACACTAGGTTGATAAGCATATTCTCTCTTGTTGACTAAGATAATTAACTTCACACTTCAATCCGTTGCATATTGATATTTACCTAAAAATGAATCATAGATGACATACAAGTAAATCACTTACTACGTTGGTTAGATAAGCATACCAAGTCTGTTACAACGCAAAACCACACACGCAACCACATACACACGCCCACACAAACACAGACACACACAGCATACAATTTTGCTGATACCCCCTGAAACTCTGGAGTTTTGATGGTGAAGGTAACATAAGCTAATTGACAAATATTTACTCAGATTAATTATATATATATATATATATTAATATATATATATATATATATATATATATATATATATATATATATATATATATATACAACCAGAATTAATAATTCATTCGTTTTCACGTAATCATAAGGTAGTCGATAACTTTTCTACCATTTTAACAACTGATTTAGAACAAGCTGTTACAACGAGGGTGGCTCATATACGCATAATGCGCACGCATTATGCGCACAACACCTAAAATCACAGGCCAAGATGGAGGTGCAGAAGAACAGCATTACTTGAAAAACCCAAGAAACAAACATTCAAACACCAGATGATCGGAAGCATGCCTAGACAATGGCCAATGGCATGAGGAGGAGTAAGGCCTCCACAAAATAGCTTGACGATAAAATCCAAATAATACTCAACAATATGGAATAGCTATCTGTCTTGTAATAGCTAAGTGACATATATATATATATATATATATATATGTGTGTGTGTGTGTGTGCGTGTGCGTGTGCGTGTGTGCGTGTATGTGCATATTATACATTTTTAATATAGACAAAAGCTTTCTACACACTACAAAGATGCATCTTCGTTTCAGTGCATTTAAAATTGCACTTCGACAGGTGATAACCAAAATGGTTATGAACAATTCTGTTCGTAAGCATGCCGCATGTGAAACATTATTTCCTTTTTTCCATTTGTTTGAAAAAAATAAATAAAAGCAAAAAAGGTGACGGAGGGAAACAATAGTAGTTCTTGATAGCAGTTTTGTGAAGGATGATTGAGGTGTTAAAGTAATGGCTAGATTTGAAAAAAATTCTTTTCAACAACGGTCAAGTGTTTAGGCACAGCATTTCTAAACCTAAGATTGATGGGTTCGTTCTCATTACACTCATATATATATATATATATATATATATATATATATATATATATATATATATATATATATATGGCAACTTATGGCAACTCATATAATATGTAGATGGGTAGCCGTTATTCTCGCTTCTATTTACTAGAGAAAATACATTTAAATACTTATTTGGTTCGCAGACATTGCATTACATACAATTCAGTAGAAAGCCAATTGGCACGTTTTCACAAGACAATCTTGAAAATACGTTTCTTCTATAATTAAATCAGCCTCAATGGCTTTCGCTTCACTTACAAAATACATAACATTCATGATTTTCAAAGTGTGAGGTAACGGAAATGATAATTATGATCCCATAACAAAATCATCGAAATGGAAAGTATACAGTTCACTGCATTTGTATATGAGTTTAAAAAAAACTCATTCATGTAAAAATATCTTATTCTGATTTCATTGTTGCCACATTGTCTCTGATCATAATGTTTTATTTCACACACACAGACACAGGCACTCGAAAAAGTGCTTTCTTTTTTGGACACAGACTGTGTAGAAACTGTCCAAATGTTCTATAATTGCGAGCACTTTCGGCTATACTTTTAGACATTATCAAGTATAGTATAAGGCGAATACGCTCGGATTTATATATCGAAAGATACATGATCGACTAATCGTATATCACGCATGGCACTTTAGAAAAAATATATCTGCTCATATATCCTGCAGAAATCAAAGTGAGGAATTCGGAAACAGCCTTTTAATTAGTTCCATCCTAACAGGATGCTAAATAAAATCTTTCTTGCTTTCTCATCAAGCTTCGTAAATATTAATCATCGCATCTGCTTTATGATAAGAATGGTTGTGACGTAGTTTCCGCCATATGTATCATGTGTTAAATTTTAACAAATATGACTCTCTCTCACCACAACCACACACACACACACACACACACACACACACATATATATATATATATATATATATATATATATTACGTGTGTTTCTGTCTGTATGTAATAGAAAAAATATGTGTGATATCACGTCAAGTTCGAATGTTCCAAAATGCATTCCTTATATTTGCCTAGGATAAGTCCATGACAGGAGAAAACTGCGACAGGAAATCACAGTTTTATCCCTTGTCTTTATTAACATGATCTTCTTACAGATATATATTTTATTTAATCTGAATTTTTACACACGCACAAACACGCACTCAAACACACAAAACACACATATATATATATATATGCGTGTGTGTGTGTTTGTGTGCTTGTGCCTCTTTCCATATATCTTTATATATGTCGCTTTCCATAGATGAAAATATATTTTCTATTAAGTAGAATGATGGAGACTCGAAATCCGGAACACTTTCGGATAGTATTATACTGACTAGTTTCTAACTTTCGACTTGTTTCTGTTATTCCTCCCTACAAACATTAAATAAATATCAAAGATCGTCAATAAAATAACCTTAGATGAGATTCGAACTAGCGATTTCGACTACCGTATAGCTAAATTTAATTCTCGTTATAATACAATATTATTTCTAATTCGATTTCTGCAAAGTTATTTTTTTTCTTTTATAATCTCGTTATAATTGGCACTTACAGTATTAAATGCTGGTCAACTGTTATGTTCCGACAATCCTCGTCGGAACTATTATATTCCGTGCTAAGGGAATAAATAAGTAACACTAGGCGGATACTAGAAGAAAGGTTTATTGTACACAACAACTACAATATGAAATATGAAATACGGTACAGTTATACACACAGTGAGTGCCACTAACTGGAAGGTCAGACATGCTTGCGTTGTCTCTCTTTCTCTCTCTCTCTCTCTCTCTCTCTCTCTTCTACTCACAGTCTCTCGTAGATAATTGACTTTATAGATACTTACTATCTAGTATAATCATTTATGGGGGTGCAGAGTTATTCCATTACATCATCAATATATAATACTTTTAGAAAATGTTTGTTTTGACATGTTTCCCCAATGAATCCTGTCATTATGAACAGAACTTTATTTCAAACTAAATATTCAAGAAAAAACGTGATTTACGTTAAGGAAATCTACACTAGGTTTTCACTGTATCCTTAAAGAAATTAGGTTGACAGATATAAAGTAATGGCGGCCGCTTATATCAGATATTTACAATATAATAATTAAATTTCGGAGATATGTCAAAATCCTTATTCTCAGAGTGGTTTCTATTTGTATTATGCTCGTTGTTTTAATTACTATACTTGATCCATTAAGAAAACTAAAGTTTACATCAAACTTATTGTAGTAATAAATGCAACAGGGGTGTGGATAACTGTCAGAATTGCAACGGAATGATTAACAACTCACGCTGTTTTTATTTTTCTTTCCTTTATGTGCTTCCCCAACATCTAATCATAATCAACTACCAAAATTTAAACTTCTCATTTAGACATAACCAGGCTCAGCCTTTGCTCACAATTGCATATCTCTAGAAATCACCACTAACAATGTGAGTCACGAGTATCCACCCTGTTTAAAGTCAATTTATCTTTGGTCTATTTCGAAAAATAAGTGCAAAGCTCATTCTAGCAAAAGGGTAAATATGCTTCAGCATTCTGTAAGCGTAAATTCTTCAGGTCAAATAGCCGTCGCGTCTTCAGAGAATTTCACTTTGTTTGGTTTCATTTACGCCATATCAACTTCAATGGGTTATTTAATGCCTACAAGATTTTTATTGCTGATAATATTTTATTTTCAAAAATGTATTGCTGGTAATAATTTTAATTCAAATGTTTTGACCCTTTGTTTTTGGAGGGGGTAATTATTTGCCTATAGCTAGGACCCTAACAGGTGCTACAACCCATGGTCAGGGTGGACCTGGGAACACCAGCAATTAATGGTGGTTCCTCGCTCCTCAAAACCTCCTGAGCAGAGGCCTTGCTGTTGGGCTTAGTTTATCGTCTAACCCAAGTCGCGGATGTAGTTTATCGTCTTACCCAGGATGGCGTCTTTAGAGAATTAGATTTTCAATTCAAATGAAAATATAACTAATATATTGACTATCTAGGATCAGTCCGATCAACACGAATAAAACAGAAGTTTAAACGCCCATGAAGCCGTAATTGATTTAAAATATATACCATAGGATGTTCCCACTGTAGAAAACAGGTGAATGATTTAAATATACAATAACTTAATTTAAACAGCTGCTTTCATGTTGTTTCCTTGTATATTCTTGCTCTCATCCCAGTAAATATAATGGGAACACGATTCAGATTGATGTGCTGTACCAGTGGTTCTCAAACCGTAGAATTCACCTCATTTGTGCGACGGAAGAGGATAGCAGGTGAGGCAGAAGAGGATAGCAGGTGAGGCAGAAGAGGATAGCAGGTAAGGCGGAAGAGTATACCAGATGAGGCGGAAGAGTATAGCAGGTGAGGCGGAAGAGTATAGCA